CTCTAACCAACCGAGCTACAGAGAGACCGTTGTCTAGCTCTAACCAACCGAGCTACAGAGAGACAGTTGTCGAGCTCTAACCAACTGAGTTACAGAGAGACAGTTGTCGAGCTGTAACCAACCGAGCTACAGAGAGACAGTTGTCGAGCTCTAACCAACTGAGCTACAGAGAGACAGTTGTCGAGCTCTAACCAACTGAGCTACTGAGAGACAGTTGTCGAGCTCTAACCACAAGCTCGACTGAGCAGTGAAGATTTTGGAACAGCTAGAGCAAATCTGCATTTAAAATTTATCTATGGTCATGTTCCAGTGATAATCATTGGTTATTCATTTCTAGGTCTGGATGTCGTCCAACAATACGGGGGCATGTGACTCGGCCATAAAGAATGTCATGGCGGGGGTGGGGACGCCCTGTGTCGTCGTACAATCACTGTATTATCTGAGAATTGAAAGGGTCAGGTATGTCTGAGGCGTAGTCTTGGGAACACGACAAATATAGATCAGTAGTTTACATCTGTAATTGTTTGTTTTGCGGGCGGAAAACATCGCGTTTGTTGACTTTGGAAAGCTGTGGACCAGCGGATCTCCGATCTTCATCATTGATACAGCTATATCCAGTATAAATATTAATAAAGTTAGTTTATTTTTTATTTCCTCCTGTAGTAAGACTGGATCAATAAGAGATCATCTTTACTTGACCTCTAGCCCAGGAAGAACAGCTTAAAACTGATAGAGCTATCTAGTATAAATAAAGTTAGTTTAGTTTAGGTTTTCTCTTGTAGTAACACTGGATCAATAAGAGATCATCCTTACTTGACCTCTAGCCCAGGAAGAACAGCTCAAAACTGATAGAGCTTTATCCAGTATAAATAAAGTTAGTTTAGTTCACGTTTTCTCCTGTAGTAACACTAGCTGGATCAATAAGTGATGATCCTTACTTGACCTCTAGCCTAGGAAGAACAGCTTAGAACTGATAGAACTATCTAGTACAAATATAGTTAGTTTAGTTTAGGTTTCCTCGTGTAGTAACACTGGATCAATAAGAGATGACTCTTACTGGACCTCTAGGAAGAACAGTTTAGCACTGATAGAACTATCCAGTACAAATATAGTTAGTTTAGTTTAGGTTTCCTCCTGTAGTAACACTGGATCAACAAGAGATGATCCTTACTGGACCTTTAGGAAGACCAGTTTAGAACTGATAGAGCTATCCAGTATAAATAAAGTTAGTTTAGGTTAGGTTTCCTCCTGTAGTAACATTGGATGAATAAAAGATTAATCTTACTGGAACTCTTTAACGAAAACAGTTTGGGAAAGTGAGTCATATTTTCAAAGCATTCACAATATCATGACAATGCAGGGACGGGCTAGCCGCGTCACGAAAATCAAGTAGATTAAAGCTTACCGACATCACTCATTAACACATTGTCAGCAAATCTCAGTGCTTATAAGATTGTGCGTCAAAACTGAGAACTCCGCTAAGATCTGGTTATTGCCAAGGTTAAATTGATTGGGGAAATAGTATTGGAACTAACTTAATTAACTACAAGCACATGTAAGAGGAAACCTAAACTAAACTAACTTTATTTATACTGGATAGTTCTATCAGTTCTAAACTGTTCTCCCTAGTCCCTAGAGGTCCAGTAAGGATCATCTTTTATTAATCCAGTATTACTACAGGAGGAAACCTAAACTAAACTAACTTTATTTATTCTGGACAGCTCTATCAGTTCTAAACTGTTCTTCCTAGACGTCCAGTAAGGATCATCTCTTATCGAAACAGTGTTACTACAGGCGGAATCCTAAACTAAACTAACTTTATTTATATACTGGATAGCTTTATCAGTTCTAAACTGTTCTTCCTAGAGGTCCAGTAAGGATCATCTCTTATTGATCCAGTGTTACTTCAGGAGGAAACCTAAACTAAACTATCTTTATTTATACTGGATAGCTCTATCAGTTCTAAACTGTTCTTCCTATAGGTCCAGTAAGGATCATCTCTTATTGATCCAGTGTTACTACAGGAGGAAACCTAAACTAAACTAACTTTATTTATACTGGATAGTTCTATCAGTTCTAAACTGTTCTTCCTAGAGATCCAGTAAGGATCATCTCTTATCGAAACAGTGTTACTACAGGAGGAATCCTAAACTAAACTAACTTTATTTATATACTGGATAGCTTTATCAGTTCTAAACTGTTCTTCCTAGAGGTCCAGTAAGGATCATCTCTTATTGATCCAGTGTTACTACAGGAGGAAACCTAAACTAAACTAACTTTATTTATACTGGATAGCTCTATCAGTTATAAACTGTTCTTCCTGGAGGTCCAGTATAAAGATAATTCTACAACAAGACCGTATACATATGTTTGTATATTGTTCTTTTCGAGACAAATAAGAAATGCAGAACATCAAAGAAGAGTACACGGTTATTCCATAACGCACGCACGTAATGTAGGGCGTCACTGCAACGGATTAATAGAACTCCAGGATCGATAGGGTCCAAGCTGGCGGAGTTGGAGCCATGCGTGATGGATAATTGTTCGCGTTAGCCGTTACATTGTGCGAGTCGCACATGATCTAAAAAAAATTCCATCAATACAACAAAGGTTCACTGGAATACATATCGTAAGTATGTTATTAATTAAACATGCCTTTCCATTTTACAATGTTCTGTGGATGTTCAATCAGTGTTACTATACAGGAGGAAACCTAAACTAAACTAACTTTATTTATACTGGATAGCTCTATCAGTTCTAAATTGTTCTTCCTGGAGGTCCAGTAAGGATCATCTTTTGTTGATCCAGTGTTACTACAGGAGAAGACCTAAACTAAACTAACTTTATTTATACTATATATTTAGCTCTATCAGTTCTAAATTGTTCTTCCTGGAGGTCCAGTAAGGATCATCTTTTGTTGATCCAGTGTTACTACAGGAGAAGACCTAAACTAAACTAACTTTATTTATAATGGATACTTCGATCAGTTCTAAACTGTTCTTTCTAGAGGTCCAGTAAGGATCATCTCTTATTGATCAAGTGTTCCTACAGGAGAAAACCTAAACTAAACTAACTTTATTTATACTGGATAGCTCGATCAGTTCTAAACTGTTCTTCCTATAGAGGTCCAGTAAGGATCATCTCTTATTAATCCAGTGTTACTACAGGAGAAAACCTAAACTAAACTAACTTTATTTATACTGTATGGATAGCTCTATCAGTTCTAAACAGTTCTCCCTAGAGGTCCAGTATAAAGGATCATTTCTTATTGATCCAGTGTTACTACAGGAGGAAACCTAAACTAAACTAACTTTATTTACACTGGATAGTTCTATCAGTTCTAAACTGTTCTTCCTAGAGATCCAGTAAGGATCATCTCTTATTGATCCAGTGTTACTACAGGAGGAAACCTAAACTAAACGAACTTTATTTACACTGGATAGCTCTATCATTCTAAACTGTTAACGTTCTTCCTAGAGATCCGGTAAGGATCATCTCTTATTGATCCAGTGGTGTTACTACAGGAGGAAACCTAAACTAAACTAACTTTATTTACAGTGGATAGTTCTATCAGTTCTAAACTGTTCTTCCTAGAGATCCAGTAAGGATCATCTCTTATTGATCCAGTGTTACTACAGGAGGAAACCTAAACTAAACTAACTTTATTTACACTGGATAGCTCGATCAGTTCTAAACTGTTCTTCCTAGAGGTCCATTGGGGATCAGCACCCCCCTCCCGCGCCCCCTATTTGTCCAGTGGTTTCTTGGCGGAAACTTTTATTGACCTTGAGCAAACTGCGGTGTATGATCGAGTCAAACTGGAAGTCACCGAAACTTCGAAACAAAAATTTTCTAAATGTTTCGACACCCACATGCTCGTATTGTCTAAACTTGCATTTAATTGCATTTCTAAACGTGCTAATTGTAGCAGACAACGGAAAACTATAATTTCCTACTCAAATAAAATACTCAAGTGTAGCACAAATTGGAATTCGTAAGCGGATAATTGACCATTATCTAATCCACTTTGCTAAGCCATATTAGGAGCGGAAATTTTATACACCACTTCTGCGTGTCGGCAATGAAGTGAGTTGTTTTTCCAACTCGTGTAAACTAAACTAACTTTATTTATGTTCTAAACTGTTCTTCCTGGAGGTCGGGTAAGGATCATCTCTTATTGATCCAGTGTTACTACAGGAGGAAACCTAAACTAAACTAACTTTATTTATACTGGATAGCTCTATCAGTTCTAAACTGTTCTTCCTAGAGGTCCAGTAACGATCATCTCTTATTGATCCAGTGTTACTACAGGAGGTAACCTAAACTAAACTGACTTTATTTATACTGGATAGCTCTATCAGTTCACAAGCTGTCCTTCCTAAAGGTCCAGTAACGATCATCTCTTATTTGATCCAGTGTTACTACAGGAGGAAACCTAAACTAACTTTATTTATACCAGTTCTAAACTGGTCTCCTATCTCTTATGGATCAATGAGAGATGATCCTTAAGGCGCCTCTTGAATGAGCAGTTTAGAACTAATAGAGCTATCCAGATTAGTTTAGGTTTCCTCCTGTAGTAACACTGGATCAATAAGAGAGTGATTCTTACTGGACCTCTAGGGAGAACAGTTCAGAACCTGATAGAACTATCCAGTATTAATAAAATTACGTTTCGGTTTCCTCCTGTAGTAACACTGAATCAATAAGGGGAGGACATCAATAAAATTAGCTTAGGACACAATTAAATATATTCTAAATCGTATCAGGAATGTTAATTAGCGTTATCTACAAATGCTTTTCAATATCAAAACAATCAAGCAGGGCTAACATATATACCACCAAACATTTCCTTGCCAATACTGATATTTCACATTCCACTATCCTGGTCTTGTTGACACTGCGCCCTGAGATAATCGGATTTTAAAAGCGGCTAAAATCGTGCGCATTTTGTTACGCGGCCTATATATATATTACTTAGCATGGTCGACCGGAAACGCATAAATACACTTGGTGGTTAGCTCGGCTGGTGACTGTGCTTGTTATCAAAGCTGTCTGCATGAGGTCTGAAGAGGCAGTCAGGTCAAAATAATTCAGTTGTCTAGAAAGGCGAAACACATTCAGAGCGCCGTGTGTCAGAAACTAAAGAATTCCATCCTGTTTTAAGGAATCAACTTCTAAACATCCTTCATCATGGGTCCGAGGTGTGTGGCATCCTCATTAACACAATTCGTATTCTGTGTTCTTCTATTAAAATCGTTTCAATTTGGAGAGATTGTAGCTGACAGTCAAGCAACGAATATCAAGCGTAAGTTTCAGTATTATAAATATGTAATTTTGTGATCGATTGAAATATACGACAGTACTAAGTTAGCGATGTACAGAAGAACTGTCAAGTTCTTTAAATTAAATCTGTTTTATTTTGTGACAGTAGAATCGATGGATTAAAATTCCCCTATAAATATAATAAAGCCGCATTTTTTAAAAGCCGAAGCAGTTCAAGCCAGCGCTAACTTATCCGAGAGCCGCGAACTTGATTATTCTTACTTTTGCACTCGGGTGAAGTTTTAGGGAAAATTTTTTATCCGTGTGTGTTTAAATTAAAATGTTTTTGCCTTGCGCGCTAACTAGTGTTAACTTGGTCTGGTGGGTTTGTTTATATATAATATTTGGATTCGCCGTTTGACTCTATACTGATCTGGGTGACTTTCATACACCAGCCTAGGTTGAGAGCGATTTGGATCAGGGCTATCGCCATACGAGAAATGACGCGCTCGCGAAAGAGTACCAAGTACGTCCGGTTTATTTTAGCCACACATGAATTCGTACAATTTATAGCCGCGCATGAATTCCTGGCGCTTCGATTTCACGCGTCGCCGATGTCAAAATCTTGCAAATTTAACTACGATTCGGAAATTTCTAGTCCTAGGCGAACGAAGGCTTCGTTTGCGTCGCGCGTTTCGCCAATGATAACTTCACAGTATATATATGATAGGGTTTGTTTATATATAATATTATGCTACACAGTCAGCGTCGAATCGCTGTAAGGCGACCTGACAGAGTACCCATCTGTCTAGCTCATTAAAATGTAGTTTAGTTTAAACAAATGAGATTTTAATACCTACGTTTTATTAAACATATTGCACGGTGCGCTTAAAGTTAAATCACCTTAATTTCTAGCGCGATTTTGTGAGAATCGATTGTAAGCCTGACTAGGTGCCGTGCGAATTTCTATTTTTCACATCCTAGTGTGAATTCGAAAACGCGCAAAGCTTTACCGCTATTTCTGTTTGTTTGTTTTATATTAGCGGTTATTTGGTTTGGGTTTATGGATGATATATATGCCATGTAAGTTGATAAGTTGTGAGAAATATCTCGTGCGCGCGGATAAATGTGGATATAAGCCAAATTACACTACAAGGCAACTTTTGCCTGAAACTGTCGCATGTAAAGTGTAAACCGCTTACAATTTGAGTTGTACTGTATAAATCAAGCACACAGCTCGCTTTAACGTAATACATTGTCATTTGCGAGTTGTGGGCTTGATTTACACAATACAGCTCAAGTTGTAAGCAAGTTACATTCGACAGTTTTAGACAAAAGTTATGTAGCGATAGTCTGCCTTAAATCAGCTTTATGGGTTTTGCCAGTCGCTCTTTTGATAGATTGACAGCCTGGTCGAGTTTAAATCAGTCTTGAGTTAAAAAATCAACAGTGTTAGGGTTTTTTACAATGAATACATAGCCATTATACATCTGTTTGTATTGATGTAATTCATGGTACATGTAATTTAATGTTACGGTACAAATATACTGGGTGGTATATTGTACCATGTCGCTGACATGTCTGTTGAAATCGCGCGTCTGTTTATTGCGGACTTTGTATTTTGTCTTTGGGATAGTGCTTTTAACGCGACAGTATTTGAAGTTAACATTTAAATTGTTTGAAAACGTCACGTTTGTCGTAACAAATTGAGCACGGTTTCTAAACGGGAACGAGATAAAAACGGAGCGCTTGACGGCTTCGTGTCAACACAAACGCCGTTACTTTTTTGCACCGCTTTTGCAAACCAAGCATCTCAGGTTTCGAAACAGTAAACTCGAATGCTTTTCGTTGAAATTTCTTTGCTCTATTTGAAATATTTTGGGTTTACATGAGTGCTAATTTAATTTGTAAACAAACTATAACGCCGCAATGAGAACACACGTAATTCTGCCTCCATTTAATATTTCGCTCGTAATCTAAAGCCACTAAAGTACTTTGGTATGTTATTCTGTCTAACGCCAGACGATTTTACTTGCTGATGGGAAAATTATCTGACGGGAAAAGTTATTTAGTATTTAGAAATGATCTTCGATCATAAATGTGCGATGTGACTGTTGTATTTTTACTCCATTGTCGATTTTACTCAAATGTCAATATAAAATTCTTAATTCTTTAAAATCTTATGTGATAACTCAATTAGCGAACTCGTATATTAGGCATGTATTAAAGCGTATAAAGCGCTGCGGAAATCATAAAATTTAACCATCAAATCACGAAACAGTATAAGAATCGTTTAAATAAGACTTGCTTTTATCATGTTATTATTGTATTGTTGATGGCTTCGCAACGATGTGTGAAAAATCCCATCGCTTTATTTACCGTGTTAATGGCTCTGCGTGTAATACAATGAGACGCCGAACTAAGTTTCTAAAAGCCTACTGACTACACACTGTGCAAGCATAATAGCTAAAGTGATAATGACTTGCGAAATGATTTGCTAAGCAAATATGCTTGGGAACTCTGTTTTTAAACGCCTATTTCCACTCATGTTCCGCACAAATGTTATTGGCCGGTGATGCAAACTTTCTATTGGTTAAATTAAGCGGTGGTCATCACGTTTGCCTTTTATAGTTTTAAGCTGGGAGCTTCAATCCTTGCTCAAGGTCTTGGAATAATTGAGGAGAAAGTAGCCTACTACCTTTACAAAACAAGGCCAAGGGTGGATTGACTACACAATTTCTGTAGTTCGCTATAACTACAGCTACTTCAAAAATATGTAGTCAGCTACAACTATATATATATATACTGCTACTTTTGAACAAAGGTATTTCGCTACGCTATATTTTTTAGTTTTACTGTATTTGGAGCATCTACTAACTCAGGCTGAAATGTAACCTATAACAAATCGACTTACGAGTAGCAACAGTAAACACAAAGCAATATTTTTGTAAGCACTACAGTGTTCAAGAGTGTATAAAATTGACTATTGAGTATTGATTTTAAGCGAACCATGTCTCAATATCATGCTATTCTATCAAGTTGCTAACAATTTTGAAAAGTAGCGAATAGCGATTCGCTGTTTGAAAAGTAGTCGACTACTTGGCTACTTTTAGGCAAAATGTAGTTCGCTATAACTACAGCTACTGTTTTAAAAAAGTAGTCAAAAACTACTGGCTACTTGAAAATTGTAGTTCGCTACAGTAGCGAACTACAACTACTTCGCTACTATCCACCCTTACTTGGCATTGACATCAGTATAAATGGTTAGATTTTCACGTCTTCTCGGATAAGGAAGCTAAAATCGTATAGGTATACCTCGGATCCCCTATCAATTGCCAATCGGGCAATAGTCTTTTGGGAAATCCGCTCACCAATGAGTGGCGAAATCGATAAACAATAAACAAGAATAGCACTGTCACTGCCCATTGAAGAGAAAATGTTATTTTGTCACTTCTGATAATTGCAGTTTGACGCGAGCATGCATCTGTGCACGATAGCGGATTGTTTTTGGCCTGTACTATAAAACTGTAAGAAGCTTAAGAGCTTTCGTCAAAACATTGCTAGAGTATGATGGATTAGCTTTTCGTTTACTGTCAAATAACCGTTTTGTTCCGACATTATTTACTGACCTTTCGAGGTCAATTCTGAAGAAATGTATATATAGGATTTGATCAAATTTGCACTCGCGATAATTTCCATCTACAAAAGTACCCTTCAACTATTATTCACGAAAATCTTGATATTTATACCCATTTCTTAACATGGCAGCACCCTAGTATTTATATATACATGAACTTGTGGTTAGAGCTTGACAAATGTCTCTCTACAGCTCAGTTGGCTAGAACTCGACGACTGTCTCTCTCTAGCTCAGTTGGTTAGAGCTCGACAACTGTCTCTCTGTAGCTCTGTTGGTTAGAGCTCGACAACTGTCTCTCTGTAGCTCAGTTGGTTAGAGCTCGACAACTGTCTCTCTGCAGCTCAGTTGGTTAGAGCTCGACAACTGTCTCTCTGTAGCTCAGTTGGTTAGAGCTCGACAACTGTCTCTCTGTAGCTCAGTTGGTTAGAGCTCGACAACTGTCTCTCTGTAGCTCAGTTGGTTAGAGCTCGACAGCTGTCTCTCTGTAGCTCAGTTGGTTAGAGCTCGACAGCTGTCTCTCTGTAGCTCAGTTGGTTAGAGCTCGACAACTGTCTTCTGTAGCTCAGTTGGTTAGAGCTCGACAGCTGTCTTCTGTAGCTCAGTTGGTTAGAGCTCGACAGCTGTCTCTCTGTAGCTCAGTTGGTTAGAGCTCGACAACTGTTTCTCTGTAGCTCAGTTGGTTAGAGCTCGACAACTGTCTCTCTGTAGCTCAGTTGGTTAGAGCTCGACAACTGTCTCTCTGTAGCTCAGTTGGTTAGAGCTCGACAACTGTCTCTCTGTAGCTCAGTTGGTTAGAACTCGACGACTGTCTCTCTGTTGCTCAGTTGGTTAGAGCTAGACAACTGTGTCTCTGTAGCTGAGTTTGTTAGAGCTCGACAACTGTCTCCCTGTAGCTCAGTTGGTTAGAACTCGACAACTGTCTCTCTGTAGCTCAGTTGGTTAGAGCTCGACAACTGTCTCTCTGTAGCTCAGTTGGTTAGAGCTGGACAACTGTCTCTCTGTAGCTCAGTTGGTTAGAGCTGGACAACTGTCTCTCTGTAGCTCAGTTGGTTAGAGCTCGACAACCGTCTCTCTGTAGCTCAGTTGGTTAGAGCTAGACAACTGTCTCTCTGTAGCTCAGTTGGTTAGAGCTAGACAACTGTCTCTCTGTAGCTCAGTTGGTTAGAACTCGACAACTGTCTCTCTGTAGCTCAGTTGGTTAGAGCTTGACAACTGTCTCTCTGTAGCTCAGTTGGTTAGAGCTGGACAACTGTCTCTCTGTAGCTCAGTTGGTTAGAGCTCGACAACTGTCCTCTGTAGCTCAGTTGGTTAGAGCTCGACAACTGTCTCTCTGTAGCTCAGTTGGTTAGAGCTCGACAACTGTCTCTCTGTAGCTCAGTTGGTTAGAGCTCGACAACTGTCTCTCTATAGCTCAGTTGGTTAGAGCTCGACAACTGTCTCTCTGTAGCTCAGTTGGTTAGAGCTCGACAACTGTCTCTCTGTAGCTCAGTTGGTTAGAGCTCGACAACTGTCTCTCTGTAGCTCAGTTGGTTAGAGCTCG